CCCCCCCCTGGGGGGCACTCTGGAGAAGCGGGCACTGGAGGGCGCTCTGGAGGAGCAGGGCTGGCTAACTCGGGGGGGCTCAGGAGATGAAGGAGGGTTGGACGGGACCAGCAGAGGCGAAAGAGACTCAGGAGACGATGAAGAGCTGGACGGGAGCAGCGGAGACGAAGGAGAACTTTCTGGAGCGGATTCTGGGGTGAGGATAAGAGTCGAGAACTCTGGAGGTAGCACCATGTCCAAGAGCGCCGAGTCAGCGGCGGCCGGCGGGCTTGACGTAGGAGAGGCCGGCGGGCTTGACGGCGAGCTGGTTCTGGGCCGGACGCTCTCCAGACACAGGAGGATCCCTTCCCTCCAGCTTAGTCCAATGGTGTCTGGGAGGTCCACGGGGCGATGGTAATTAGCCCCGATCCAGAACAGAGAGTTGAGCGTTGCGTCATCTAATGCCGTACTCGTGGCAATCCTGCAGAACTCCCACGCATACTCCACAAACGGGAGATCCAGGCAAGCTAGGGCGGCGAACCGAGCGGCAACTTCCATAGTTGCGGGGAGAAACTGGGAAAAACAAAAAACAAAAAACTTTCAAAACGGAAATAAAATGGGGAGAAGGGGCGCCGCTTCCTCCTTGTTTTAGGTCTGGAATTCTGTCACGGTTCGCTACTGTGAGGAGCACGGAGCGAGGAACGAGGAGATGCAGAGTCGAATTCAAACTTATTAACTTTAATAATATCCAGGGAAACAGGAAAACACACGTAGCAAGGGTTGACATCAACAATTCCAGACAAGGGAGAACAGAACGGGCTAGAACTCAAATAGAGCAGAGAACGAGGGGCAGACAGGTGAGAGAATAACTAATAATGAGAAACACCTGGAACTAATAGAACTAAATGGGGACAGGAACAAGAAGGACCAAATAAGGACAAACAGGAACTAAACGGGAACATACACATGACAGTTGTCTTGACAACTAATATTCAATATCCACTTTATCTGCATATATTTACTAACACTCACATACGCAATATGATATGTGATCTTTTTATATTTCATTTAAAAATGTAACTATATTATCGCTCATCTCTTAATATAAAATTGGAAATACTGTATAATTTTATCCACATACAGTACTTACAGTATACTGACAAAAGGCGATATAGCTGCTAAATGCGACTATAAGGCATGAAGATATTAAGATATTATAAACCTTACATTCATTATTTTCTGTAAAGCTGCTTTGAAACAATGCATATGGTGAAAATTGCTTTTGATCTTGCCAATATGTCTTCATATTCAGATTTGGTCTTATGTTTAAATTAATGTGGGAAAGAAAAACAGTACTCACCGTGGTCAGAGACCAGAACCAGGTTAACACATTTGTGCAACTGTCTTTGCTTGAGACCCTCCATCAGCAACCCAATAAGTCTGTCGACATTCAGTAAAGCCTCAATGACCTGCAACAATAAAAAAAAAAATCATCATAATTTGGAATGCATTTCACCAGCAGAATCCAAAACAGGGGAATTCATATCGATTATAAACAGTATTTAAGAGTGCTAACAGCAAACAAACTAAAGCTGGCTTTTATGTTTCTTCTTTGTAGCTGTGCACTGAAATGGTTATCATATGTCAATCATTGCGAATTTTCCTGTATTCCATACACTTCATCAGCAAAAAATAACAGTGATTGTCTTCATTTAATGCTTCATATCCTAAATCAGACATTTGCCCCCCAAACTAAACAGAAACTGAAGTTAGTCAATTAATTTCCACATGTGGTTTGTCTTCAGTTTACCTGGCTACTCATTGGTCCATATCGATGACCCGCGCCATCAGGCTCTTCAAAGTATAAGGTGTAAAAGTCTGGCCTAAAACAGAGTATATATACTGTAATCTGGAAAAAAATAGTAAGCTAAAAATAGCATCTAAATTAACATTTAATTCAAGTCACAAATATTATTTAACATCAGAGAATCAACCTAAATGCATCACTTTACACATGTACACAGTTAAATAAGATATAAATAGTTATTTACGGTAACAATTGAAAGTTACAATTTTTTTTACAGTTTAGGCAGAACCAAACCAAATCAGTTATTAAAAAAAAAAAAAACTATAAATTAAAAATGCATTACCTTTCTCCTTTAGGTAAGTTCAACCATTCAAATATTTTTGCCACCCTCTTTTCAAAGGGAATTCTCCTAAAGAAAGAAAAAGACAGAATATCTTTGCTCTTTGAGTGTTTCACAACAGAACAGAAAATAGCTATTAATATATTAATTCTGTATGAGCTCATATCTTCAAACCTACTATTTAAATTATATCATCCTTTTTAACTAATTTGATGGCTCATTTAAACTCAGCTTTTGGTGGCTGTTACTAAAAACACTGATATCTTCTATTGAGTTCAGCAGAAGCCCATTTTCAGAGTCATTATCTGTGTAACTTGCTTCAAACTATTACTTTTGAATTTAGTGTAATATGAAGTGTTGTTCGTAATTGCTAGTTTTAGATGTGAATTATAGCTAGTCCTCAGAACTCTCAAATCAACCCTAAAATCCAGTTAATAACAAAGTTAAAAAAACAACAACAGTTATTGTAAATTTTCACCTGTCATACTTCACCCAGAAATCTGGGTATTGTCCATTGACTTTCACATCGGATCCAGGCCAGAAGAAAGTAGCTGTTTTTAGTTTGTTTCTCATGGCTGTGAGCCAAACCTAAAGACAATCACAGGAGGAACTGAATGAGAGTGCTGACAAAATATAGAGCACACAAAAGATAAAACACACTCAAAAAAAACAAAACAAAAAAAACACCTGCAAGCAAAGCGAGATAAGAGAGCCTCACTAAACTGACAGTGATAAAAAAAAAATACAAATGTAACAGATGTAATTATGTCACCTTATTAGTTACTTAGATTTTAGTTTTTTGTATTTCTGTTTTCTATTTAATTTTAATCAAAGTTTTAGTAATTTTGTTTATTAATCGTTTTGTTTTTGTTTATTCATTTTAGTTATTTTAGTACTTCAACAAACAAAAATGAGAACTGTTGCCTTGGCAACTAGATGAAATAAAATAAGTTTCAGTTTTTCTATATTTTATTTCAGTTAATGTTTATTTTATTTCAAGTAATGCAAATGTTTTTAGTTTTAGTTAACAATAATAACCCTGGGTTGAGGAACTGGCAATCCTGTTTCATAGAATCACAGTTCCTTTGGAAGGACAAAATTAAAAACTAATATGGTCGCTACTATAGCAAAGTACATATGGTTATGAAGAAGCTCTAAAAATTCAAGAATGCACACCTACAGTCAGAAACCACAAAGCCTGTCTCTGTAATTACTGTAAAAGCCAATATATAAGATGGATACTAACCCAGTCTTCAAAGTAACACAGGTTACCACTGAATGTGAATGCCTTTCATATTAGTTGTAGTCTCAAATGCCAACAACTGCCTCTTTTCAAAAGCAAATCCCTATATCTCCTACTAGAAGGTTTTACGGTGCATCATTTCAGCACCATGGATGGGGCAAAACAAAAGCGCATGGCTGCAAGTTGAGCACGAAAACAAACAAGAACGACCAGCGTTCCCAGTGAGAAGTTTGAGGAACTTCAGAAGCCCTGGCCCAACCGGGATATGGGAAATTTGATCAGGAAAACAAAAAACTCTTTGCTAGCTCTCAGATCTTGGATCTTCACAATTTCAGCCGCCCACCAAAGAAAGACATTGTGCTTTGTAATGTTTTGACCACTTGCTGCCTGTTTGATTGCAAATGTGAGTATGTTGCAGAGCACATCTGTGCACTACCCTCTGCCATCCCCAAAAAGCTGTCTTGGGTAAACTCTGAGAATGATAAGGGTGGTACAAGACTTTCCTCCCATCGTCATACATAAAGCAATTTGGAATAATTCCATTGCAAGAACTTGAAGAAAGCTCCACTCATAATGACAACAAAAGGCCAAATGCAAGCTCATGCAAGTCCATCAGGTTCCACGGGATTCTGAATCTTGTTCAGAAGAGTGTGATCCGAAAGAACATCAGGCCTCTTCAAGAAGTGCTTACTTACTGCCCATCATGCCTCTTGGCATGTAAGGCAGCAACAAAAGTCCTCCACTCCTGTCTGTTTTGGGCCAGTGTCTGGATGGTACCCCAAGTGTGGTTCAGGTTCTTTAGTTCTCGTTCTACAGTCCGGCACCAGGTGTTCTTTGGTCTGCCTCTCTTGCGTTTGCTCTCCGGTGTCCAGTAAAGGGCCATGCGGTTAATATTTTTGTTTTTTTTTGTGTGGAAAAGAGCTTATTCAGGTCACTGTCTGTCATCCTCCAGCACTCGGAGCCATATAACATGGTTGAAAGCACACAGCTCTGGTACAACTTCAGTTTGGTCTTTGTGTAATACTGCTGGGACCTCCAGACACTATTCAGCATTCTAAAGGTATTCCTGCCCTTGCTAAGACAATTCTTTATGTCGCTGTCCACTCCTCCTATCCTGCCCAAGTAGGTGAACTCTTTGGTCATTGGAAGATTTTCTACATTTATCTGCCCTGGTTGGGGATATGGGATATTGTTTGTCATCATGCAGGTTGCAACTAGAATAAGACTGGCAGCATGGACAGAGAGGAGGAAAAAAGAGGTGGTGGTGTGGCAGAAAAAGACACACACCACTGGTGTTGGGAAAAGTAAAGAAGATTAAGTTATATTTGGTTGTGTGCTGAAGAGATTTAAGTTGTAAACCTGAGACCTTCTGTTTGATTATTAAACCACATCTGCATGCTGAGGAGACAGTTGAAGCCGTGTTTATTGAAAAACTACACAAGTTAAAGACCCACAACCTCTCATGCTGCCACATATGGTGAAGAATGCAGTGGGCAACTGGATGACTACTGATGCTCCAAAGTGACGTGGAGGACCTCACAAGCCTGTTTTCTAAGCTAACTACTAACAGACATTCCAGAATTGTAAGGTGGAGCAAAGATGCAGAGGAGGCTTTCTCGAAACTAAAGAGGATGTTGTGTTCCAGTCCAATCTTGAAATCCCCAGACTTCACAAAAGAATTCTTGGTACAGACTGATGCCTCTGAGGTCGGTCTAGGTGCAGTACGTTCTCAAACACATAAAGGTGAGAAACATCCTGTACTCTACATCAGTAGGAAACTGGCCAAGCATGAAAAAAATTATGCCACAATTGAGAAATAGTGCCTAGTGGTTAAATGGGCACTAGAGACACTCGAGTACTACTTA